TGATTTCGCGAATTAATATCAATGTTTATTATGTTCAATGTGATTAGTTATTTTTTTTTTTGATCTTGAAATTATTAATTTTTTCTGCTTCGAAATCTGTAGCTATTAGAATTACATTTAATACCATACTAAAAAAATATATATATATACTTTTATAATATGCAAATTAATAATCATAGTTGTTTTTTATATTTATAATAGCATATAATAGTAATACAATGTAACATTTTTAATAAACTTAAGTCTATATGTATATCGAACAATTACCTACAATCAAAGGTTAAATGGAAATTAAATTATGTTTTCATATAAAATTATGGTGAACATTATATATAGCCATTAAATATCTAATTGTATTAAATATTAATAGTTGTTCATAAGTTTTATAATAACTAATTATTATTTTAGTTGTAATATTTAATGATGGGCTTGAAAGTAATTTTTATGTAAACTAAGTAACTAAATATTTTATAGCGTTGTACCGCGAGAATAGTTAATAAGAACATATTGGTTTTTAAACCATACTGTTGAATTCATTATTTAATGTGCAGGTAAGTATAGTAATTTACACTTGTTTATATTTTTATCAAATAAACTACTACGGATATGCTAATAATACATATATATATATATGAAAATATGGTATCCTCATTATATTCTTACCATATTTAATGATCGCACATTTTATTTATATTAAGATTAAGTCAAATCAAAAGTCACCACTTCGATTAGGTATACATAATATTACGTTGTTATTTTGTAATGTAAAATATGTACTTAACACATAATATATTATGCTAAAAATGTGTTTCTTCTTAATTCTTGCAAATTCAACTATTCATTAATGAACATAAATATGTTGACACCGTCCCACATATAAATWTACGTGGGACGGTGTCAACACACAATAAACCTTTTAGAATTGTAATTTTTTGATCATTTTTTACTTATTTTATAGAGAAAACCCTATTCCAAGCCATATTGAACTCTAATGTTTGAATCAATTTTAAGTAATACAGAAAAATGTACTCCAAACCACCAAAAAATGCGTGATAGTATATAGACGTTTATTACAAGGAACTTTCTTATAGCTAGAGCAAAGATTTTTACTAAAAACGCTTCGTTTCTAACATGATGGTTAATAAGTATATAATTAAATTCAATAGATTTTTGTTTTTTGGTCTAATGTTATCCTTGTGTTTAACGGATTAATGAAGCATTAATTCATATTCCAATATATTTTGTTTTCTTCGAACGTCGGGTTTGATATAATAATCCTATATGATTAAAATAAATTATTAACGCCCATGATCAATGATYAAGTTCAATTCATAAGCTACCAGTATTATATTCTGATATTGTTATTTTATACATAATAAATTAATAACCATATAAAAATTAAAAACTTGTTTGATATTAGTATATTTTGTTCTTTTCATTAACGAAATATATTTTCATTTAATATTATTTTTTATTACTATTGTGTCAAAAAAATGTTTATCAAGCAGTTGAATATTATAGCAATTTATGTTATCATTAAGAAGAAAAAAATACCTTTATAATAAGTATTATATTTGAAATTCGAATGTTAACTTTTTCGTTTGGTAATGGAAAAAAAATAATATAAAGGTAATTCAATTTTATAGTTAAGAGAATATTAAATAACGATATAATACTGCCACGTTCTTCAAAATAGTATCGTCGTAAAATGGTGAAAATCGCATGCATGATGACGTTTCGCGGGAATAAGTAACAATACTAAACCATCTATGATAAAATACACGAAAAAAAATWGAATGTTTGTAGTTAAATTACATTTGACGGCCAGTCAGTGTGACGATATCGGGTGAAAGCCTTTGAATAAACATATTATAGTAGTAGTAGTATATATATTATATAGTAATGAGTTTAAGAAAATAGAAATGTTTTCTCTGCTYAACCTATTTTTTATATGCGAGGACGACGATTAAGCTCGTCTAGAAGCTGAAAAGAATAAAAACGTCCAGATCAAAAAGCAACTTGGCAAAAGAGGGTCAGGGGTTACAGCTTTTTTGGTCTTTTGTACGCGCGTATACAGTTCGTTTCTCCTGCCTTCTTACCCTTCCACCTTACCAGCAAATGGAATCTGCGATTCATTTCAAACGGGGGTGTACCTACGCTCATATATGTCTGTGTAAAAATATAGCTGCAAGTGTGTGTGTCTTAGTGTCTGTGTGTGTGTGCGAGCGTTTGAAAGAAGGGATGGACTTTACGCGTAGCTATATACTACTGAAAGAGAGCGCGATTTGTCTTGGTTRCCACAACATCCTTTTGGCAAGACCAATTTGGAACTGTCTATCCATTTCCGCACAAGCACACACACACACTCACACGTGCATTTGCGAAATTGATGGGAGAGAGAGAGAAGTGGGTCAGTATATAATATAATGTTCTGCCACCACATTCGGTCCTCTTCTAAAGCTTTTGACCTGCCGCCACCGTCGCTGTCATCTATATATAAGTCTAAATCTTTTAGAGCTCGTAAGCCTCGGCCGTATACCAAGACGAAACCCCTTCAACACGTACATCTCGATCCCCAAATTATACGGCGATACAGTACTATAAGGCCTGTGTGTGTGTTGGCCAACTCTGAAATCCAATAAAGGCGCAACAAATAGACAGAAAGATAACAGATTGTTTCCATGCAGGATATACCTAACTGCTTGTGTGAGATGGTGGTGTGTTTTATTTTATTCGTCTTCAAGTTTATTATTATTTCTTTTTTCCATTTAAACGTCAGCGTCCCAACGAAAAGAAACGTTTTCTGATACTTTGTTCTTAAACAAACAACACAATCTTGACCGCATGGTAACAATCTCTAAGTCTTCTCTGACACTTAGGAATGCGAGGATGGTGTTAACCATGGCATTATTAAACAATATTTATTTTAAATGTATAGAATACTTGATTTTRAAGTATTTACAATCCGTATAATAGAAAAATAAAATAAATTAATAGATTGTCTAGCCAAKTTGAGACTCAACTACAAATAATTAATGTTTTTAATTTTAGTTGAACAGAGTAACTGGTTAGTGTAATATAATGTATTATAATACCGAGACCCATTTAAAGTAAGGTGTTAAGGACGTTAAGGTACAATAATAAAGTATTTATTGATAAAATTATAGTTTATATTGATAATATTAAAAGTACTGGGATATAGGTAGGTATAAATATAGATAYGGAACTGTACATTGTTTATGTGATACAATGGTGAGAAGGGGAAAGGGGGAGGGGGGGGTTAATCAATGAAGTAAAATCGAAAAGAAATTTCGAAAATTATGTTTAATTTTAAGAATTATCGGGTACTTTTAAATTTTTGGAGAATCGAAAGCAACAGATCACAGATTCGAGGATCGCGAAGAATGGAAAATTTTAAAATGGATACTGTTTTTTTAATAAAAATTATTATTGTTTGTATAATTATTTTTCAGCGCTTTAATACAGAAGTTGTAGTTTTGCTTTGAACTTCCCTTGATTTTTATGTGTGAACAACTGAACACCCTCGCATAAATGGTACTTGTATGAGTTGCTTTTGTTTTTGGTACAGTTGTCTGGAAAGTGATCTTCTCGTACTTATCGTGTTTGCTTATAATTAAAGAAGTTTAAAGTGCATCCATAGACCTGACAGTTAGATTAGCTGGTGGAACACTCTTGGATTTATACGGGATTTCCATCGTTGTAGTACTGACTGGCTTGGCTTCATCCACATGGGCAATATTAAATTAATGATCAAAGGCCCCATAAAAATTATCAGCTTCTTGATTTTTAAAACCAGCGTTAAAAGGAATAGGAGAAACAAACTGATCTTCAAACTTATTTTTCGTGTTGTTTATAATAGAGTGATAAGTAGACAAGGTTATTATCAATATCGTAGATAATTTTAATTTATTAATTATCRCTGAAGATRAAATATTTATCACGTTTGTTTAAGATGATAACATCAAAAATTTGTAGAATTAGTTTCATCAGCGATAGAGAATTTTTGATTATGATGGCCGAAAACTGACTACACATACCGAACTTTTTCGAGTTCTCATCGAGTGACCTTTCTGGTTATTCTTTGTTTTAACTAGATACCCAAATAATTTCCTTATGCAATATAATATCATAATATCTATATTTTTTATCCTACATATTATATTATGATGCTGGTCGTTGGTTATAAGTTTATAGTTTCCTTTCAATTTTGTTTTTTACAATCGTTTATATTAYAGATCAATTATAGTAAAATTATTGTTAAAAAGAGGACCTTAAGCAGGGGATTTTCTGCATTTTAATTTGTAGTGTGAAATAAAACGGCTATGCAATTTATAATTTATTTCACCACTACTCTATTACTATATTATTATTGCACATTGTTACGAATTATGTATTTATGTGACACATTACCATTGTTGTTTAGAACAGGTACCTACTCGTATAATTGTTTGGTCGATTTATTTTAGGCAGGCATTATAATAACTCTGCCAATTAACTACTGAAATTTACGATTTGACAAAAATTCCCGATTGTATTCTTGAAATTTACAGGTTATAATAATGTAATGTATTTACGACGTAGTTACCTACCTATACATGCATTGAGAATGCCACGTTAAAAAAAAAATATATCGCTATTTACAATTTATTTAACGTAGGTGTACAACATTATGAATATTTTATCGTTTTAGAAGAATATTTAATTTATCCGGACCACGCGCGTCTTGCGTCTCACGCTTCTCGATCATAGTTATATATTTTATATATTATGCTTATTGTAGATTTCCTCCGGGCTTAATGGTTTTTTTCCCGTTACACTAATATTTTAAGAATACCCGGGAAACAGGTATTCATAAATTATTCATAAACTATTTSCGAGTAGGTACCTGTATAAATATAAATCCTCGTTTTTGCTCTTTGAATACGGAATAATATTCATGCATGCTGYGAAACGTTAGGACACAATTTCTTTTCTTTTACATTCCCAGGAACTGCGCAAGTGTGTTTGCAAAAATGTACGTACGGAAAAATTCGATAATACCTTTTGTTTCAATGGCATTATTATTACCATTCACTATTGTGATATTCGGTATTATTATATGTACCAGGTATGCCGTATAAATATATTGTGATTAATTCATGGTATATATGTTTCAGAAGCTGACTATACGCTGGACGATTCGTATTGGAATCAGGAGAGTCCCGTCGGTGAGTTTTTCTGAATGATATTACTGCAATTTATTGTTCTATTTTGTTTTTAACGTGGTTAATTTTTTGTCATTCGGTCTTTTTATTGTTTTAATTATTTAAATAGATTGCGAATTTTTATTACGAGAATCATTACAAAAATAATAATAAAAAACAAATTCATACTACGCGTCTCATGTCAGTAATGTATTATATAGTTTTTTTTTTACCCATGCCGACCCATTTACTCCCTGTTGCTAATAATTTATGGATTTAAATTACTCCCCCTCCTCGTCGCTATTAATTTATTTCATTCGTATGTGCACCGTGTACGAACAAACATAACACTCATTTATCTATTCTGTATTGCGGACGATCTATGTGTTAAAAACGTATTAAACACGCAGTAAATTTATTAAAACGGGACAAGTATGACTTGCAATTAGTGGTTTTTGTAGGGTTATTCAACCGACGGCATAATAAATGGATGACATAACGATATTTCTGGTACCCTTCGGAATTAACTAAACTTGGTTACACAACCCCGTTTTTCTAAAAAAATGTTACTATTATATTAAATGGTCGATAGATATATTATTATTATGCTTCSGAAGAGCTAGAAGTTAATGGGAACTAAATTTGATTTTAAACCTTAGGGCCTTAAAATGTTCAGTGTTCTGTAAAATGTAAATGTAATCACCCGCTCACCCTCCGACGTCTGTACCTCACTTTTTTAATATTAATATGTTTAGTATCACGAAATAATTTCCAAGAAATCATATAGCATATATTTTTAGACTAGATATATTCAAGTATATTTATTTGCAAATTCTTCAAATATTATTAAGTCTTAAACTGATTTGTTTATTATTAAGTTAAATTTCGGGAGGTAAATAAAGTTTAACCAAATGATTGTTATTTACCTGTTCTATACTAATTTTAAATCACCTACACATAAGTTGAAAAATAATAACGGCTAAAATGAAAATATCATTTAAACTGCGTGTCGTCATACCATCACCACCTCCACTCCACTTGCTATAAMGACGACGATATTATGATGAAATACAAATTTGTCATTTTATTAACGTCACATCAGTTCAGAATTATATAAACAATTATTTATATTTCCAATCGTCCACAATGTAATTAATATTATAATGTTTGAGTTTAAGCTCGAGTTCAAACATTTGTCGACCTATATGGCCGTTATTATTCGGAATTCGAGGGGTAGTTACCRCAATGCTAGTACGGCCATCACTAACGGTCTTTGCATTTATTGGAATGAATTAACTATGGGTACKAGAAAATTGTTGACAGTTGTATACGTGCGCCGCGTGTGCTATATAATATTATACTTCTATGATGTGGGTGTGGACCACACGAAACTTTTCACCTGATCAAAACGTAGAGACGTGCGTTGGTTCTGGAATTCGAGACGATTGGGCGTGTGTATACTGATAAGGATTTTGAATCCAAGAAATGACATCAAAAGAAAGATACGCATTTGTAACGAACACTTAATTAAGTTTTCGTGAGATAACAAAAGGTGTAGTATGACTTAATTTAAAGCACTCAGACCTTCGAAAGTTTTCAAAACTAGCAGTGACTGTATTTTGTTACAGAATGTAATTCTGTTTCATTTGACGAAGGTACATTTGGACGAATTAGCAATCTTAACGCGATTTTTCATTAATGGTCTCGAAAACTAAAGGTTTTTTAATTTAAAAAAAATATATATATATTTACAATAATTAAAACCATAAAAAAAAAAAATAATTTAAATGATGCTTTAAATTTTTTATCAAAATACTTCAAAGTTTTTGTTGTTTAAAATAATATATTGAATTTCCAAAAGTAAATGTTTTTTATATATATATTTTAAGCTTTAATTATTTCAGAATGAAATAATGATATTTTAACAATCGATTAAAAATTCTTTAGCTGGGCATTATAATAATTATAATATAAAAATTATAAGAATTAAATAATAATTGCTTTTAATAAAACTATAATAATTCAGACTTAATCAAAATAAATACAATTATTTTATGTGGGCACATTTTTGTCTAAAAATAAGGAGAGTTTAAACTTCGATTCATTTAAAGTGATTTTATTCTTCAAATAAAATGAATTAGCGTGAAACTTTGGTTTTACAATCCTGAGAAGCATAGTAACGGTTTTAATTCATGGTATATGAAAGTATTTTATTGTGCATTAGTTCGCTTAGTACTTGATTATGGGTCATTTGTTTAGTACCCTTGTTAGTTTGGGAAAATTGACTTGTTACTTGTAAGAGAGTGTACAAGTGCACCATGGAACTTTCATTGAATTTTAGCTTTTAGATTGGGTAGACTATAACTTTAACTAAATACTGTAATGAAATTAAATTAAATTTAAGCCTTTGTATTTTATAAAATACGTTAACCTTGTCGAATTTAAATTGAACTTATAAATTTAAAATATTTTGTAGCAGAAACTCAATTTTTACATACTCGTATTCTTAACGGGAGTTAAAATTATTCATATTGCTTATTACTTACTATTTATTATTCGTTATTTTGAATAATAAATAATAATATATGATATATACATATATTTTAATTTATCGTTATTTTCATTGATGACTTGATCATTAATATTCCATAAATATGTAATATTAAAAATATTATATATTTATACTGTTGCGAGTGCATATCATTTTATATTTTTGTAACTTTCATATATTATTGAATTTTTAACTATCTTAAATGATAATCAATATTTATTTTTAGCACTCARTTTAAAATATAATTTTTTTCCTATAATAAAATGTATTGTTTTAAATTATTTATTCATTAATTGAAACGCTGAACGAAATAATATAAATAATATAAAAGTATACTTCAGCCATGAGAAATGTTAAGATATATTAAGATTTGTTAAGTATCTTTGTGAAGTATTCATTATAATATTGATTATAAAATAATTGTTATATTTTGTATTGTATTAGTATTTTAGATRTTCATATATTTTGAATTTGGCAATTATATTGTTCATAAATATCTGGTTTCTTTTTATATTATACACTAAATGTTTTATAATAAATAAGTCAATAAGGTTTGTTTCTTTGTTTAAYCACGCTGTACTATATCAAGTTCTTTGTTTGAATAAATTAGGATAAAATAAGTTGATAAATAAGTGGATCAGTGGATGTCACTCTGCTGTACAGTAGGTTACAAGTAGGTTACTGTAATGGATGATATTAAATTTGAATGATATAATACCATTGTATACAAAAAACGATTCTGAGTGGAAACGGATTATCAGACTAGGATATGTTATACTGTATTAATTTATTATATTGTTATTTTTTAAAAATTAAAAATTAAAAATGTAGATACCTATAAAATAAATTCCAAATTAAATCAAATAATATTCATTGTGTACCCAACAACTCAGTCATTCATAGTAGGTATATACAATTTATTATAAAGTATTAATGTAARTCATTAACGACATTAGCTATTAATATTAGAATATAAAGTATAGAAAATTAAGTAACCACGAATAATATTTTTAAATTATAACTATAACTAAAATGGTTATTTTTAATTATATAATATGTAATTTCATCCAAATTTGAACTTAAAATAATCATAAAAAAACCATGTTGAATAGTTCAGCTATAAAATTAAACCTTTTATAAATTATTAACAACTGAAGAATTTGAAAATGTTGAATTAAATGAATATCGTCAAAATTATAACTTTAAATAGTTATAAAAAAAAGTACTTAGATATTTTTAATATTTTCAAACTGCTATTATATAAACTTATGGGAATCTTATATTAAATTTGAAGCTTTACCCAACGAATACGATTTTATTGTCATTTATAAAAAACAATTAACTAAAAAGATTGATAATTTCGAATTTCTATAAATAATTTAAGAAGATTTGAAATATTTTGAAAATTTCATCATGTATAGAATTTCCAGTATAAACATTCAGAGAAAATTCCATGTGTCCACAGTAATTTGTTTTAGAGTTACACCAATATCTAATATCGATTTTCTCAAAAAATTATTTTTTGKWAAAAWT